TGTTTGCATTATTAAATCTATACAAGTATAGGTAAGTGGGGAAGAAAATGTATAAGTATGTTTCTTCTTGATGTTTTATATGTACATATAAAGATGAATTATTCAAGTCATAGCTCATTGACACATTTCATATTCAAATGCTGCCCAAAATAACTGCCACATCACTGAGATTTTTACTTTGAGGGCAGAATAGATTTCTTATGATTTGAATTACATTAAATAATCCAGCAAAAACAGTTAAGATATGAGCCAATATCCAGCCAATTGGCTACATGAAGTTCTCCATAGCGTTTATTGCCTTTTCAGGTTTATGTAAAACAGTTATTGTAGAATTTTTGGACCAATGTCACCCCAATAAATTCAATGAAAGAAAACATCATTTGAATAAATATAAAAGGAAAAAGAGAAGTTGTAAGCGTGATTATAAGGAAATGGATCAATTGGATTTCCCTTTCATATGGAGACCCTGGCAGCCCATTACTGAAACTGGGCCTGTTTTTATACATATTACCTCTTTAGGATCCAACAATAATATGAAAAATTATTCTGATTATGAAAACATGACACAAATAACAGGACAAGACCAAAACAAAACAAACAAGGAGTTAGCCAACCAAATCTATCCTAAGGAAGGAATCATAAGAATGGTCTACTCTATTAGCAAAAGAGGCCAAAATTTATAGCAAAGAGCTGAACTAATTGTTTAAACTCATAAAAATATTATGACTGTCTATTACTTATTAATAAAAAGGCTTTCATCAGTTTCTATAGGGGAATGGATTTTTAGATCACTATTTAATATGAAGTATTACTGTTAGTTATTCATTAGATAAATAAATTATCCGTAGGATGAAAAGTTCATTTAAATACATATTCCCAAACGTCAATTTTTAAATTTATAATATTAGTTTTAGTGATAACTATTGCTCAGTTCTTTCTAGCTTTTCCAGAAATCTGTGCTTGCTTCACAGCCTCCAATAAAGCCATCTGTTGGTAAGAGATCTTGACCCAGTGTCCTCTCTGATAGACAACCATTTTTTTTGTAGGGAAGTACTCATTCAAGTGGAATCTTCCGAACAGCTGTCTCAACCGTCTCCTATATATCTTGCTCCACTCCTACTGTTTTCGGTTTCCTATCCCATCCCATTTGTGAAAGCTAGGCAGTGGGCCAAAATACACCTCATGGATTCCTAGCAATCACAGTCACTTGAGAGCAGGGTGGCCACATGGCCTCTTTTGGTGTGAACAATTCAGCTTTGTGTGTGTTGGTCCTACTCAAGGCGGGCTCTGTAAGGACACAGTTTGAGATCAAGGTACCTCATGCCCTTGTAGGCTCCCTGTCAGCACGTGAGCTCTTCAAAGAGAATAGGATGAAGCTTCCCGCCTTACCGTTCTTCTGTACTTGATGGAGAGTTAAAAGCTTCAGCTGTTTTCAGTGAGGTTGAATGGCTGCACCTGCTGTCAGTCTCCAAAGCAGGAATCAGGACTACTCTCTGGGACAAGGCTAGAGTTTAGCACTCAAGAGGAAGATTTCCTAGGAGAAAATGTTATTTGGTATTTTGTAAACAGTCGTTCCCTAGGGGCAGTAATGATTAATGTAGGCTAAGCATAAATAATGTACTGTTCCTCCTGCTGTTTCCTGCAATGTACACAGAACTGATTAAAACAAATTATTGTAGGTTGTGGGAATAGCATCATGAAAAAATTAAGCTGTTGGAAGGCAAACTTTGGTGGCAAATACAGGGACATTTACTTTACAAGAGGCCCAAACCAAATGTTCTTACAAATGTGCAACCGAAATCTGCTTAGGGTTTGGTCTGCTTCGTGACCTTGCTTTTCAGCCAGAGCAGAGATGGGGGTCTCAGAACAGGGGCCCTTCCTGCAGAAGAGACAAACACTCTGATGCCAGCAGCTTTAAGGTACTGCTTCTTACTGCAAGGCCTGGAGGGCAGGAAGGGGCAGAGGTACACTTATTTGGGATCAGATTGAGGGTTGGGTTAGCTTCAATACTGGGGAAAAGACCAATCAATTCAAGGCCAATGGTCATGAGAAGATAGATTCCATGGACTGGGTGTGGATACAAAGGGGATGTGGAATGAAAGTCTGAACAGATACTTCTCCCAAGAAAACATGCGGATATATGAAAAGATGCTCAACTTCACCAGCTATTAGGGAAATGCAAATAAAAACTACAATGAGATTCTACCTCAACCTGTTAGAATGGCTATCATGAACAAGACAAATAACAATAAGAGGTTGTGGAGAAAAAGGAGCCCTTATTCACTGCTGGTGGAAATGTAAACTGGTACAGCCACTATGGAAACAGGATGAAGGCTCCCCCTAAAATTAAGACTATAGATACCATACGATCCAGCAACCCCCCTTGTGGGTATCTACCCAAAAAATTTGAAAGCATTTATTTGCAATGATATATGCACCCCTATGTTCACGACAGCATTATTCACGATGGCCAACACATGGAAACAACAAAAGTGTCTTTTAATAGATGATTGGATAAAGAAGAAGTGGTACATAATGACAATGGAATACTACTCAGCCATTAGAAAAGATGAAATACTGCCATTTGCAACAACATGGATGGATCTTGTGAATATCATGCTAAGTGA